CCTTTCACCCAGTAATAACACTGGTACTGCTGCAGTGGTCACGAAGAGAAATCTGGCTCACAGAGTGAATTTCCAGGAATAAGCACAAAGAAAACTCTGTCTTTGAAAACCACATCACCTGTAGGCGGAAGAAAGGGGGGGGGAAATGATTTGCAATTAAATGGGTCTCATCAACACTTGTTCTTTTTATTCTTCAGAGCAAACAAGTCAAATATTGTAAGTGGAAGCTCAAAAGCAGGGCAGGCTGGGCAGCTGCCAGCTCTTGGTCGCTGTTTATGGGGTCTTATCAGCCACAGTTGCCTCAGGACTCATTCCTGGCCTTCCCACTTAAGGAGCCGTTTTCTCTCTATGTAGACCTTAATTTTGAAGGATTAGATAAAGAGAAGACTGTTTCAAAGACAAACTTATTGGCAGGAGCTTGAGATGGCAGGACTATTGCTGAATGGCAGCGAAAGCCAACCCAGCCGGTGGCACTTTGCATTTGCAGACTGGTTTCCCCTAAGGATTAAAACCCATGTATTCTGTGCACATCACAAAAATTAATGTTATTTTACAGCTGGTTCAGATTGACTCCCAAAAACTCCCAAATAATGAAATAGGGGAGGCTCTTTTCTTCTGATTTTCACCAACTGTTACTAGGGATATTTGGGTCTCTCACATGATATTACAAGGACATCAGGGCTTCTCCTTCACGAGTGGAGTCCATGCTCATCTCCAGTGTCGCAAAGCATCCTTCCTGCTGGCTGCATTTACCAGCCAGCCCTGAACTTGCAGCTCTCTCAGTCACCAGTGTTTCCCTGTCTTGACTGTTCTTCACACACAGGAAACGAAAAGGGAGCTTTCCCACCCAAATACAACTTACTGGTAGCGATGGTGGGAAATGGTACTGAACAGTCTATTAAATTCCATTGTTTTTTTCCCCTGGAACTCCAAAACATTTTAATTCCAAGATGTGCTTTCATGTCTTCATCTTCGACAGAATTTAATTGTAACTTTTTAAGGTGATCAGGTAAGTGTTCAGACCAGCATATCCATCTATATAAAATACTAGGATATGTTCATGAAGAGCACATTTATTGCAACAAATACATAGGCATCTACCCAACAGAGAGAACAAGGCAACACTGTGGAGAAGGCCTTTCTCCTGGGGGCAGCTGATTTATTCTTGTTCATTATAGGTTCTTTCCCATTATTTTGTGGAGTTTCAGGTGGTAGGCCCTGATAACAAACAGGTATTGGACACCTGATCTGAGATGGCACTTTTAATTCACAAAAATAAAACTGCAAATAAAACAAAGAGTAAGTTGGCAAGATTTGAACACCTTCTGGGAAAGGTGCTCCCACTGTCCTTGTCACTACGCATCTGCCTGGGGATTTTAAAAGGGATGTGAAGTCTGACACCTGGTTGGATTTCCCACTCTTCCCACACCCCCTCTGCATCCAAGATCCTGCCTTTGGCTGGAAAGGGTGCTGTACACAACCCCCTGCTGAAAGCAGAGCCATCCTCAGTGGTTCACAGGTGCTGGGTTTGGACACACAGGGGCTCCAGCTGCTCCAAAATAAAGTCTTGCACTTCAGCTGCACTTGAGACTGCACAGACAGCCCTTCCCTGCGAGTCAGCTCCGCTTCAGGACGGCTGGGAAAGCCCTCAAAGGAACAGGAACTGCTTGCAAAAGCTCAGGTCTTGCCCCATTTCAAAGGCAAATTGAGATTTGTCTATTTGCACAAGGTTTTCTAAGCTTACACACGCGGTTACACAAGAGACAGCAGCTTTCTAGACTGCACACAAATGAGGAAAAGCTCATGTGGGATAAAGCACATGTGGAAAGCAGCCGGATCAGCAGAGTGACTGGGAGCACACTGCTCTGGGGCTGTGAGCTGCACTTCCACAGCCTGTGTGTGGTGTGGATCCTGGAAAAGGCCAGCAGGCAGTCGGCGGGGGAGCCAGCACGCCTCATTCCCTGCAATCCAGACCTATGCCAGGACGAGCCGGAGAGCAGCAAGCAGGAAAGGACTGAGCTCTGGAAACTTTATCCTGCATTACTGAAAGCCCTGCTGAGCGAACACCAACTTGCTCTTACATAACCCCCCATTCCGGGGAAGGAGCAGCAGCCAGGAGATAATGCGCGTAAGGAGGATCACGCCTAATTCCCGGCAGTCCCACACCAAACCACCGCTCTCACCCCGCTGCTCTTTGGATGAAATAGACCTGACAGTAGAATTCTGGGATGCAGAGGATGGCAGACTCCTTCCCAAGGAGAGCCAAGGCCTGGGAGATGGAGCTGTGCTGAAGTTTACGGGCACATCTCAAAGCGCCACGACCTGCTGTAAGCTCACTGCCGACCTAAAATGGCACTAAACCCAAACTGATTTAAGTTAAGACAACACAGTTTCTGTGGCAGGAAATACTCCCTGTCCACGGCCCAAAGGGAAGAACAGTAGGTTAGGAGATCACAGGTGATCTGGTCATCAGTTAACAGGACAGTGCTTGTCAAACCCCTGCTTTTGTTCGCAATGCTGGTCTCTCTGTCAGAAGAAGAGCCAAGATGATATTCCTCAGGCCAGGAAGAGAAATAATTGTTTATTTACACAGGGAGTTCCTAACAGAGCTGACCCTCCTCACTGGAGCAAGAGATAAATACATGGAGCCACTCTGGGAGAGGAACAAAAGCCTAGGCAGAGCAGGAACAGTGCAGGGCTCTGCACCCCCAGCAAGGCCAGGATGGATGTCCCCAAGCGTAGAACAACAGGGTGCAATGCCTTGCTGCCATCACCCAGCCTGAGAGACACCACGTGCTTCAGCCCATGGCACCTCTGGCCGTGCTCCAGAGGCAGCTGTAAACGGAGCAGCAGAGCAGGCTGCAAGAAATCTATAACAGGAATGGCAAAAAGGAAGGGTGCTTTCGGTGTCCCCTGCTCCCCCTATGTGCTCCTGCTCTGGAGAGGCCTCCTCGCTACAGCTGCTGCAGCACAGCCTCGAGAGGGCTGATTTTTATGCATATTCACCCAATCTCTACTCAGCCCAGGGGCCAGTGCACTGTGAGCTCCATTCTGAGCCCCAGCCCAGCCGGGTGGTGCAGGGCAGGGGGGGTTCACTGCCCGAGGAGGGCTGTCACTGGGCACGGGGGTGTTCACTGCCCGAGGATGCTCCTGCCCACCCAACCACGGCTGGTGCAAGGAAGGAGCCAGCCCGCTCCCTCCCTCCCAGGGCTATTTTCAGCGGGAATAAGGCGGTAAACAAGGAGCGGGGCGGGCGCGCGGCCGTGTTCTCTCACCTGCTTCACCTGCAGATCCACCACCGTCTGGAAGACGTGCGCTACCAGCAGGGAGATGCTGGCGATGAGCAGCGTCATGGCCAGGACCCCCACGGTGACGAGGCACAGCGACTTCATGGCTGCGGCTGCTGCTGTCGCCGCCGAACGGGGACACCCCGAGCTCCGCCGGGCTCCGGCTCCGGGGGCGGGCGGACACCGGGCCCCGCCTGCCCGCGCCGGGAGGAGCCGCCGCCTCCGCCCCGCGGGGCTGGGGGTGGACCGCGGAGCTCCCGGGGGATGCTCTCCCGGCTCACCGGGAAAGGCTGGATGTATCCCGAAAGAACCGAAGGTTTGCTTCCTGCCCGCCGGCCCTGGCACAGCCGGAATCTTCCCGTGCGCCGGCGAAGGGAGCTGCTAGTGCGCCTCGCTCCGTGCATCGTCACGGGCTTTGCTGGGAAACGAGCGGAAAAAATTCTCCGGCCAGATTATTAGGGGAAAACTTGTAGGGGACGTGAAGCTTCCCAGGGATCGGATTATGCCACAATACAACGCGTTTCAGCTGCCACAGGGCTCCTGTGCCATCACCGAGCTTCCAGCAGCATTAGCGTTTCCCAAGCCCATGAGTCAGTTCCCTCCCCAAAATCACGAGACTGGCAGCTTGCCAGCAGCAGCCTGATCCAAATAATGCCTTGCCTAGCAGAGGGCAAGTGGCCCATCAGGTGGATTTCCTGCTAAGATGGACTGAAATAATTTTCCTTCATAATTTTTTCTTCCTGTCATTGTGATTGCAGTAACAGTGTTATGTTAACATGTGCCCTTCTGGGTATTTTTGTTTAGAAAAGGTTCTGAGGTCACATTTCACAGTTGTTTGGAAGACCAGAATTTTTGTGGTTCCACCCAGGCAGTAATAAAAAAAAAAAAAATTGTTCTGGCAGCTTGTTTTTCTTTAGATTCCCATTCCAGAGTGTTGTTCTTAGCCCTGTTTCATCATTAGCACTCAAAAAACCCCCAACAAACCCACAACCAAAAACCCCAAGCAACAGAGTACATAATTAGAATCTGGTTTTAAAGACTAATTTAACTACAGCAATAGAATTCTCCCCTTAGAAGGAGTCTTCCATGGGAATTCTCTCTCTGAAACCATAAACCTTCCCTTCCACCATAAAATATTGGCCTTTGGTGGGGACCGGCTGCAGTGACAATGTTTACAAGCAGCTCGCTCCTCCTGCAGCACATGAAACACATTTTCCACTGCTGCTGAAACAGTGCAATGGAGAAATTTTTCTTGTCTCACCTCAGGTAGTTTAACTGCTCCATGACTTCTGTTTTCCAGTGAGGATCTCCTGATGCACACGCTCCAACGCCAGGGCTGTTGCCCCCAAATCGGAGATAAATACAGGAGTAGAGGAACATACAAGACCAGCAATATACAGCAATTCTCTAGTTATGCAGAGCCATTTTTATCAGAACTACTTTCCACAGCCATCAGGCATTTCTTTATTCATGATGTTAAAGAACGTGCTGGCTAATCTGAGCACCGAAACCCTGGCAAATCAAAAGAAAGGCAGGAACATTTAAGAAATTCTATCTTAACTGGGAGATATTTTGGTTTTTCAAAGGCTAAATTTAGTTTGCTACTGAAACAGATAAAGGATCCTTGCAGACCACGAGATCACTGAAATTCTTTTTGCTGAACGCTGGCTTGAATATTTATAGCTCAAGCAAAGATTTCTGCAGAAATTTGAGTTTGCTTAATTCATTATTTCGGTTTATTTTTCTACAAAAACTACCCATGTGATGCATAGAACCACACCCCTTCTCCAAGCAGATTTTCTAGACTCTCAGTGAGAATTTTTTTCTTTTTTTTGGCAAATTATTTTCCCTTTGGAAACCAAGGAAGTGCTCACTGGCCATGATATATCGAAAACATTCCCGTGAGGAGCGACTCCACCTCTGAAGTGCAGCACGGGAATGCAGTGGGTGCACTGCTGGCTCAAGGCACAGTCCTGTCTCACAACTGCAGATCCCTGAGACAAGCAGAGGCACATCTTCCCTTTCCAAAATCATGATGATACTGCCAGGAAGAGAGGCAGACGAGGCCCACATTCTGGAAAGCGTGTACATGATGAAACAGTCCTGTCCCATGCACTGGGAATACCTCGAAGAGACATAAAAAGCCAAACTTACTGAGCTTGTCAAGTGGCTTCTTCAGTTTGTGCAACACCAGTTACTCAGCTCCTTCGGGCCTGTGTAGGGAGGGGAAAAGCTTCTCAGGGAAGGAATTAGGAAATCACAGAGCACAGTATCAAACAAATCAGAACAGACCCCAGAAATCCTTAATCCTACTCTTGGGGTTTAGTAACTATCAGACATTTCTCCAGTGGATGTCTTATGCTGGCCACAATAAAGGGTTGGAACAGCACACAGGAGGGGTGGGGTGTTTTTCCTTGTCTCTGTGTGCATCCATGTCACTTCATGGATCTCTGCTCTTCGACACCCCAGACAGGAACCGTGCCTTCCCTTACTTCAGCATTTGGTGCTACAATCATCTGCCCCTGTTGCCAGACCTGTTCACACCACGTCCAACTGGATCCAGGTCTTGCGCTGCTTCCTTTAGGAGCTGTGACCTGAGGGCACACAGACACATGAAACAGGAGTGTAGTTTCATCTCAACACCAAGAATGCAGCTGCAACTAGGAAAGTGCTTTAATTAATAAATGCTCTACCAGTTTCTGTCTTATCTACGATTTGGCTTTCAGAGGCTTTGCTCTTCTGCTTTCCCTGCACAGCTAACACACCTCCTTGTCATCAATGAACTCACACACACTGGGTATGTTTCTAGTACTCCATGCTTAATTAATAAAATAATAACCTAATTATAAGATCCTGATTTCAGCTGAGAGTTGAGACATTTCTGAAAGGTTTCTAAGTGGGTAGAGATCGCATTTCGCTGTCTCCAGCTTTAATTTATTCTTCCCACACAGTGCAAATTAAGTGCTGGCAGGAAAGCAGTTCACTACGGGGCAGAGCTACACTGCAATTACCAGGACCATCAGTGACCTTGGAGAGGGCTGGGAGCAAAGCTGGGGCTTGTGTAAGAGCAGCCTTTGCTCTTGGGTTAGAACTGCCAGATTTGGGACTGTGACAACTCAGGGGACGAGAGATTTGCCTACAGCACTTAATTTTGCTGCTGAGGAAATTAATACTCTTAACTATTACCAGAACAGCAGTAAAAATGTTCTTCCCTCTGAAATTTGGGCCTGCTCCACTCTCCTGTTTTTGACACTCTCCAGCTAAATAACCACAGTCCTCATGGATTCTAAGACACACACACATACACACACACACAGAGACATACATGTCCTAATTGTGATACAGATCACATAGCACATTTTACAATTGCACACACCCAGAGCCATATTCCTCATCATCTGAGCTACACCACAATTAGCAAGGGCAGCCAGTCACACCCATCAGCTACTCCTGGTCTCCTTTGCTGCTCCCCTGACTCAGCGGCCGCTTCTGCTCCTGGAGCCTCGTGACTCAGGGGTGCCCAGCTGTGTGGGAGAATGTCACTAGGGGCTGTGAAACAGGGATCTTGCTGGGTAAGGAAGGCCAGGAAGCTGCAAGGCGTGCACTGGGATGAATGGGAGGCTCTGCCAAGCGGCACTGTCTGGATAACCTACACAAGGTTTGCTCAGGGCCTGGCTTGCAGTGCCAAGCCCAACTAATCAGTAAAGCTCCTGCTGCCAGTGTTTTACTCCCTTAATTCAGGTTTTAGTGGCTGCCATGCAGATTGCAGCAGGAAGAACACTGTCTTTCAAGTGCTTGATCTTATCCTCTTAAGCATTGCCCACGGAGACTGACACAACCTCTCCAAACCCTCATTCTTCCATACAGCCCTGAGGCAGCTCCAGGACCAACCAGGTTTACTTGTCCTGCTCCTGCTGAGCACTACAAACAGCCCTGGACTGCTGGGAACACCCTCTGCACACCAAGGGACAAGCACAAGTGTGGGAGCACCCAGGGAGGAACCAAAAGCATAGCTGATATGTGCCCATGCTGCTCCCAGCACAGGAGAACCTGGCAAAAACAACCCTGGAGAAAGGCAAAACCAGTCGAGGACTGTGTTCCCTCTTTCCTTATAAACCCCCTGCCCCTCATTACTGATTAGAAACAGGAAGCCAACAAAGCCTGAATCACCACAAAAATGTAACTGTGATCTTACTATAGATACAGAGAGTTATAAGGAGCTGGCAGGTTTCTGGCACAGCTGGCTAACAGGGTCAGGTTAGTCATACAGGTCAGGTACTTTATCAGTCGTACACGTTCCCATCAATATAAGACACTGGAGAGCAGAGACTTTACCCTCCAGCCTTGAAAACCTCTCCTGCTAACCCTGAACATGCCAGAAATTATAAAGAACCTGTCATTCAAACAGAATAAATGGTGCTTGTGTACCTTTTCCTATAGTATGACATGTATGCCTCCTGAAAAAGGGAGGATGACAGTCTAGGACTGTCAGTGGGACTTCAGGGCCCAAATCCCACAGCAGTGGATGAACCCTCCAGCCCCTGACCCAAAGCCTCCCAAAGGAATGGGGCAGAGAGGGAGACCTGTTCCATTTATTTGTCCCATCTGGGACTCAGCCTGACTGAGTTTTAACAACCCACACCTACTTTTAAGTGAACTGTACTAGGAGAGCACATTTAAAATTAGCAAACCAATGGCACACATTTCCCTCTCCTGTGAGTGGTATCCCACATGAGTGCCACTCCGTGAAGGATGCTCCATTGGGATATGATAGGGCAGACTCTAGGAGTCTTGTTTTCCTTTTGTTAGCCTATGCTCAACTGCTTATTGATCTGAAAGAGTTCAGGAGCAGATTCTGGCACTTAGGATGTCTGCTGCTGCATTAAAACCTGGATGCACACTGCCTCTCCACACTATTTTATTGAGGAGAAGTGGAGGTCTGGCTCCAGGGATTTTCACAGCCTCTGCTAACTGCATTTGAGAGGCTGCAGACCTACAATCAGAGTCTGCTTTGTTCTGAGCCTGCATTATGTCACAGCCCGAGATCTTCCCCCGTTCCTGAAACACACACAGGTATTGAAGGCTGCAATTACATGATTTTGCCTGCCTGCATCACATTATGATTTACTCAGACACTGAACTAACTCTGATTAAAATTCTGCAATGTCTCTTTTAGCTTCAGTGGCGCCAGAGCAGCACAGCTGAGCTCTTCTGGAGTCTTTCCATCCACAAAGCCTGTGGTCTGCATCCTTAAAGTGCACCAAACTCATTGGCACAGATGATGGAAGACCAAAAAGGCTCACACTGGGAGTCTCTCCCTGATTCCCAGTGTCTACTGCACTTAAATGCACACTTGGTAGGCCCAGAAATAAGGGCACAATGAGTCATCTTTAATCCCAAGCCCTGCTCCCCGGACAGTCGGTGGCAGCCGCTGGCAAACAAACGCTTTGTATGTCAGCCTGGATACAAACAGCTCCTGCCTGCCAGCTCACACAAGGGGGCTGTGTGTGGGACAGCCCTCAGCTCCCAGCCCCGAAGGCATGACAGGCACCAGCTTCCCTGGAAATGTGCCAGAGGAGGAGGTCTTAAAATGACCAGGGCAGGAGAAGGATGGGGGAAAATGATGTGCAAGGAGTTAAAGCAATGACGGGGCTCCTTGGGGTCTAATCCCGGGAGGAAGCCTATGGAACCTCCTACCTTAGGATCTGTTCTCAACCTTCTGAGAAGGCAGGCAAACAACCCAGCACCCTTTTGCCATTTCCAGGCCCATGCCTTTTCCAGAATCCAGCTCATCTGTCCCCATTCCTTGTCAGATCCCGGGCTCCAGCTCCAGTGCCACGCTGCACTCGGTCGGGCCTGCCAGCCCCAACTGTGAGTATTTAATATCTTGTGGCCAAAAGCAGAGGCAGGCCCTAGGGTGGGAACCACTAACCTTCAGCACAGTCTGCAATACCTTGGATAGCTCAACTGTGTCTCCAAAGGGAATACTTTGGGGAAGCAAAAAAAGTCCCCCCCTGGTTGGTTCCAGCATGTGACCTGGGTCTCAGGGTGCAGTCGCTGCATCGAGTGCTGGCTCATGCCTTGCCCTTTCCCCCAGCACCACTGGGTAGGGAAGGACTTCATGCTTTCTCCTGTCATCAAACCAAAGCACCACATGACTAAGTGACCAGTGACATCCTCTCTCACACATTTAACTCGAGAAAGAGGAACTTGGGGGGACAGTTTCAGAGAAGCACACACAGATTTGATGACAGCAGGACCGTATTTCAAGGCACATGAAGGACTCCTTTTGCTGCCTTATTTATATCCCTGGCTTTTTATTTCAGGGAGGAAAAATACGTAGTATCAGATATGAAATCAAATATGATTAATAATAATGATACGAGATTAATATTCGAATATCAAATATGTGATCAAACTTCCTCAGGTCATGAAGATAAACACTCCCATCAGAGCTTACAGACTTAGAAGAATCCTCTCACAAGAATTCTCAGTCAGGCAAAACAGAAAACAAGGAAAAAAGCTGATTCAGGGAATTCAGAATTTAGTTTTGAATTATATGATGTGATTTATAAAACAATTTCATTGCTTGCCACTTTCAGTAAAGCAGCATCTAAAATAAGGGGGAATGAACACCCACATTCAGAAACTCTGTAAGGTTTTGGCCTAAGTTATCTGCCGAAAATTAAGAGCATCTTAACCTCCTGAGAATGAAATGCTTGCACTCAGTGACGAACAGCGAAGTATAAAAGAATATTCAGCCAGGCTAGGGGGGAGAAAAGTGCCCCTCAAAAGGAAGGAAGCTCACCCAGAGGCCTCTGTGCCTTATCTCTGCTGTACTCCTCCACATGTCCTTGGCCACTTCATTGAGACACACTTCACACAGAGCTCAGCAAAATCCTTGCTCAGAGAGGCAGATTGTTACGCCTGGCACTGGATCCAAGGGAATATTTAAGATGGTACAAAAGCCGTGTTTCCATGAGCCTGCTGATGATGGGCTCTGAAGTCCCCTTCAGTGAGGACAAAAAGCTTCATTTCACAGGAAAAACATCCAGGAAAAGACATTTGCCTGGAAAGCCTGACCACATGGATAACATGCTGTGAGGAGCAGTGTGAAACAATACCACACTCCACCTGAGCTCCCTCCGGAATGTCCTCCCAGGAATTCTTCCTTCCCAGCAGCTAAAAGTGCATTTCTGGTATTTTCTCAGAATTAACTGTTCTCTATCTCCAGCTTAGATGATTCTACTCGAGCTTTTACTTGTTTTCTCAGTGCTCTTCAGACTTTGGACTTGGATAAATTTCTGTGTTAAAAGTTGCCTGAAATGAAATATTTGGCTGCCTTTTCTGCTGCATTTTTCCGAGGGCCTGACAATATGAAAACTGACATGGAAATCAAAGCATAATGTCTCCAGGATGTGAGACAACCATGGGAGTCTGTCAGCGGGATTTTGTTGGAAAATCTTAATTATGATTCAATTCTAAGACCTCTGAAGTCTGAAATGACCTTGAGGCACTTCACATTTCACAGAATTTAGCCAAATTTATCATAATCTGTTTTATGCCTGGGAGGGGGTAAAAAGCATTCCCACTC